CAGATTTGCAATTCAATATACTTACTCTGTCCAAAAGAACAAGGAAAGAGGCCTCCAAGGATACATTTTTATGTAAAGACAGTTAGCATTTTTAGATATACTTTTATTTATATATAGACAGTAACAGCAGCCTTCAAAGGATCCTTCTTTAAATGTTATTCATACAATTGCTTATGAACACTTAAACTTTATTAAGGCTAGTCTTTCACTACAGACCAGTGGACGGTGATTGACAACTGTAGGGCACATTCACAAGCAACAGCTAACTCAGAAGAAATGTCTCTATATGAAGACTTTCCTGAGTATCTAATAACTCAAAATATTTCACTTTCGAATAATATTAGGCACTTTGCTGTGGGTCAAATTTATTGCTATAGATTATAACTTTAAGAGTAACTACATAGTTATCTCAGTGGAATTAGCTTTTACTTTTTGTGAAGAGCCCATGCATCCTCAAAGGATGCAACAGGTCTCACTACATATAGGAGAGCTGCTTTTCCAAAGGAGAGAATAGCACTATGACAAAACCAGCTGCTCAACCGTATTTGTTTTCTTATTTTTCAGTCTAAAGGGCAGAAATATAAGAGGACCACAGGCTGTTTCCATGATCGAGAAGAACATGAGCCTGCCCAGGCAGAAGGAGGACACTGCATACCAATCTGTCAGCATCAGCTGGCACATTTCATTAGCATATATTTTAAGCAGTCCTCAAGAAAGCTCAGAATCACTGAAGATATGTGATAAAATTAATAATAATAAAATTAATAGAAAGTGAATATTTTAAAGTACTAGAAAAACATGTCTTAGCATTCAGTGTTTGTCATAATCTAACATCATGATGTAGAATAATATGCTCAAGCTAGCAAGGGACTAGAATCAAAATTATCCACTACTAAGCTTTCCTATGTAGCCTAAGCAGATTCTCTGAAGAGTGATTTAAATCCCCTGCATAACTTAATTATCAGGAAGGTGATTTACTCAGATTGACTTCTTGTAATTTAACACATGAATCTATTCTTTTAATTGAATGAGTTCAGCTGACACTGAAAAGAATTTGTAATGTTTTTAAGCTAATACTTTGACAGAATGAACAAACTCACATACTCTACCTAGATTAGGTCTATGTTATCTCCACTCTTCACATTGCTTCAAGGTCAAGATCACAAAGCTGAAGTTCTTGAAGTTAAGACAGTCTATCATGTGACCTTATGAAACGTAAGTTTTGATTTAGTTGGTATATCCAAACTCATTATGCTAAAAACCAAGTCGTTTTGCAAGTTAAAAAGCAGTTTCAAAATCGGAAACATTGTGCTCAATAAGCCTAAAATGGATTGCCACATAGTTGAAAATCAGGACTGTTTTTGATGTGCATGCTTTGTTTCTCAGTACAGCAATGATAAAGAAAAGTGACATTTTAAAACGCAGTTAAGGCTTGTTCATTTAGAAATAATAACTTGTAATAACTCCAGCTGCTCTTTTAAATGCATATTCCATATCAAGATGTACTGTCATGGATTTTGCTAAGATACAAAAAAAAAAATCTACTGAGCAAGGAGTTATTACAAGCCAGAAGTCTGCCTTCTCTATTTTGCATTAGTTTCACCCTGTGGACAAGTGATTGTAAAAGGCATGTTGTAGATCTCCCTCTATTCTTGGAGTAAAACTGAAGTATAAGCTATCTAGAACTTGAGAACAGCAGCATGCCACTGACCAAGAGATTTCCCAGTCAGGAAGCAAGCTATTATTCCACATCAGAAAACAGGACAGAAGAACGTGTTTTGCTTTTGTGGCATATAGATCTTCCCTTTTTTTTTTTCCAGCTGCCTATTTCTGAAGTCACCTTTCTGCAAGTAATCCTCCCAAGCTGCCAGAATTACTTTCCAGGAAACCACTGCTGCTGATTTAAGTTACTCAAGCAGCGGGGAGGGGAATATCTAAGCGAGCATATGCAAATCTTCTCTCCATCTTTAATAAAACTTCAGCTTTCAAATAAAGCAGACTTATGAAGTTCCATCAAGCTCACTGGAAGGGAATCTGGAGAAGAAAAGCAAAGTTATCTTGAGGTTGGGGGGCATAAAGAAGGTACAAAGGTGATTCAACTACTTTTGCTTTAGTATTTGAAGAAGTTCAGCATATTTTGATGTAACTTAGCTAAGCAGAAGCTTGCAAAAAAACCCACACCGATTTACAGCCATATGCCATTTGGGTCAACTGACAGTAAGCAAGGCTCCTACCTGGTTTAACCCTAAGAGGCAAGTGGTAAACAAGGAAAACCTAGGTGTTAAAAAGAAAACATCATGAAGCAATAATCTAAACACTAAGTAAGTCTAAGCTAAGCAGGCATGTGTTGGTACCCCTTAGAGGCCCAGTCCAGATTCAGACACTTCTCAGATTAGTGAAGTTCATAATCACATTCTTTTTGATAAACAGAGAGCTGGTGCATTCTCCCTACTCAGGAAAATTGAAGACTGCAGCTGTTCACATTTGTAAAGCTGTTCCAGGAATAACTCCACCCAGACAGACTATGGCAATTGTAGGCAAAGTCCATGAGAAAGAAACTGTAAAACCAGCCAGAGCAATTTTCCAGTGCTTACCATCGCATAGGAGCGACATAGCACAGTAAAAATACACAGCAGCTACCTAGGATTACCAGAACCATCTGAACCTCTGCACTCTTGCTCTCCTCCTCATGGTACTTCCCCCTAACCAGAGATTGATCTGATAACTAAGTCAGTTCACTTACTCTTTTAATGAGCATCTATTGAGGGATATTAAGTATACAACCTTTCATGTTATATGTTAACTGGAACTGGCCAAGCCTTTCAGTAAACTCTAACAGGTAAAAAGCAATGCTACAAAGTTCTGTGTGGAAAATGCCCAGCAAACTTTGGACACCCAGCAGATGGTGCTGTGAGGTTCTGTACTTCACTGATGCATTTTGGTTTTCATGTTTAGCTCACATTTTATGTTGTGCCAGACACTTCTGTATCATACAATAGTGCTGTTATTCAAAGAACTTGGGCTAAGCGAGCTCTTTGTACAATGCACAAGCATCCAAAGATGTAGCAAACCAGATCTCTGCAACAGATACTAGTTTTCTAGAAGGCTTCAAGGAGTCAGATCTGAAGCAGACAGACTACAGAAATAGAGACCAAAAGCACCACTAGTCCATTTTGCCTGCATTATTCATTCAGAGTACTACTGCTTTCACTGTCACCTTAGGCAGAACAAGGGAGATTACAGCTAAAGCAAGCTCTACTGTACCAAGGTAATGAATACTGATGATTTCCAACTTTAAAATTATACATCTAAACAAATCTGAAATCCCATTAATCTCATGAAGGACCCATTACTTTAGCAACTTACTCCTGAGTGCTTAAACAGGCCCTTGAATTTTGCTCAGGCCAAAGTCTCATTTTAATCTCCTTTTTTTCACAGGGTTCTGGCACTTACCTTGCGCCAAAATATTTCTGCTGTCTATCCAATAAGATCTGCTTCCCAGCCTCTACAAACCCCTTAACACACTTCCTTCTGTTTTGGGCATTCTTCACAACTCTGCCATACTGTACTTATTCTGAAAGTGCAGGATCTGATGCAATGCTTCAGTGCAGAACTTGAGCCAATTAACTGATTCTCAAGAAATGTTACAAATTAAATAGGACAACTACAAACATGCTTACTTTCTGAATGTAGTTCCTGACAATATCAGCTTATTTGGGCAGTAGGGAAGCTTTTTCTTTACACATTGTGATAAGCTAGTATGACCTGAGTCCAGGAAGCAGATTTTCTAAGTTTTGATGCTTTTCAAATTTATAGGTAGAAAATAAGCACTATGAACTCACCAGCTGTCAGGGAACTGTGTCTCACATAAGTTAACGCATTTATAGAAGCCTCAGGTGTCAATTCAGTAACTGAGGAACCTGCTTTGAACACATGGACTGCTAGCACTAGTTACCCTGTATAACTAATTGATCTCAGCATACAGATGACCCTCAAATATTCAGGTGTGCCAGTCTTGTCCCATGTACAGGTTGCATGTTGTAGCAGGTAGTTCCATCACTGGAAAGTGAGAACCCAGCAGTTCATACCCAGTGTCCATACAGATGCTTGGTGCTAGCCAGTACTGACATGGGCATGACATGGGTCTAGACTGTATCCCAGCTGCAAGTACAAGTGTAAAGTCTCACAATACCAGATTATCTCCAGCCATTAACTTCCATGACAAACCAAACAGAACACCACAAGCAAGGCACAGAAACTTTAGAAGCTTCATAGTGAGAACAGAAGACACCTCCCTGCCCCAACAGTCATCCGCTATTAAGACTCCAGATCAAGCAACAGTGAAAACCAGATAGACAAGACATTCCTGACTTCTACTTGCCAAGGGAAGAAGCATTGCATGCTGCTCCCCTATTTGTCAGGCTACAGGACTACTCTATGCTCTCAGGCAATTCCCAGAGCAAAGTATCAGAGCTTGAAAGACATACCTAGCTTAGCCAGCTCATGCTGGTCAGGGAGTTCTGAAACAGTGAGTCAAATTAGTTCAGATTAGTACACATTTGAGAGGTAGAGGGTTTTTTTTAAATAATTCTAGAAATGTTGGAGTCGAACATTTCCAAAAGACAGCTTGAAGTTGAGTGTCAGTCAGTAGTTGCAGTGAGTGACGATCTTCTCCCTACTTATGCCTACAAATTCCACCCACTCCCTTGCAGCACCATCAGTTGCACTGCATTGTGATGACCTGGCTTACAGAGCCAAAAGGAAATATTTTCTGAGCTTGTTTTCCCTCAGGAGAGCATGATTTCACAACATCTAGTTGAAGTCGATAATCTGTTATGGGCTCAGAGCCTAAGGAATAAAAACTTGGATTCTCAGGAACTACAGTCTGTAGCCTTGTTGCTCATGTGTCTCCAATAGCCATAGAAGAGTTCCTCCCAAGTTACCTGAAGTTGCTTCCCTCTCAAGTCATTATTTAATTCTTAGAGACCAAAAGCCAAACTCTAGAACATGATTATTTATTGTCCTTTTTAGGGAGTACAATGGCAGCTTTACAAAAAGACGGCCAGTAGTTATTACCACAGTGAACTTTGTTATAACCTAATTCACTGGAAATTGAAACCTGCAGGCAGGTATAAACTGTAAGAGACAAACCACTCTTCCAAATCACTCAGCAAGACGGATGCCTCACTACAGCTTGAACACATTCCAGTATAGCCCCACAGTCTGTCACTTTGACTACTTCCAGGACATATCCAGGAATAAGAACCTTAAACTTGGCTGGCAATTCTGCAACTGATGTGGCTGCTTAAACAGCTGAGAGCAAAACATTTCTCCTGCTTTACAGGAAAAGTAGATGAATACAGAAAACCACAGCTTTGAAGTGACAAAGAGGGGACAAAGATGCAGTTCAGGACTACTGGACGAATAAAGAATAGCCTGTGTCATTTGAAGTAAGCATTTAAAGAAATATTTTTGGTATACAGTGTTGCTTGTCAAGTGGAACTGCATGCTTCCCTCTCCCCCACCAAAGCAGTAGAATGTTGGCAGAAAAGGGGAGCCATGTAAGACTTGGCAATTGGTGACATTTTATAATTCAGACTTCTGATCCATGAGGCAGAAGGTAGGGTGTCTAACTTAGTCCTTCAGCTTGGAAACTTCATAGAGGTATGCACCAAGCATCTTCGTCCCCTGGATGTAGTTGTACCTGGAAAGACAGCTTCCATTAGAATTGTCTTGGTTTGAGCTATGTTCCTAGCAGGTGTGCTTTTTGCAATATCAGTCTTATGCAGGCAAGAGATGCCATAGGCACTACTGTTGCAGGCAACAGGTACTACTCCCAACATCCCTGGTATCTCCTGTGGCAAAATAAATGCCACCCTTGGGGTAGGGGAGAGTAGCCAAGCTTTCAGACCAAAGTATTGAAACAGCTTTTGGTTTTAAGCATATAAAATTAGAAGCAGTACTGGGATCAAAATTCAGTCACAGACAAGTTACCTACCCAGTAATCCTCTGCTAGGCAGAAACAGCACTCTGCCTTCCAGAGTCTTAAAGAAAAGCAGAAGCCCAATTCTTCTTGGTCTTTTTTGTAATATGTGCCAAGATCCACAATAAAACTCAGCCTGGCACAACGATAAACATTCTTACCTGTTTAGCTTCTCATTTTGAGAGTGGGCACCATCATCTGCAGCTCCAACAGGAAGCAGCATGACATTCTTGCCTGTTGCTTCTTGAAAAGTAAGGGTAACAGGAATGCTTCCTCCCTCCCTCGTCAGATCTGGTTCAACTCCAAAAACTAGAACAGAGTGATATTCCAGTAAGTTTTGGAACTGTATTTGTTTTTCCAGCACAGATCCTTACTGGTGCTTAAGCAATCAAGTACCAACCACTTCTGTACCATGTGCTGGGCAAATCTGGCTATTTCAATCAGACTGCACAGGTCACAGAACTGTGGCATTTTCCCCCCAGATGTGCTGCAGGACTGTCACTTTCAGAGTTCAGTTCAATCATTTACACAAATAATGCTTCATCTGAAAGCCTGTTTGTACTTCAACACAGAAGTTAAATTTGCTCTAGTTGCCCTAGCGTAACTCTTTGAGGTCCCTTCCAACCCTAACCATTCTATGATTCTACGACTAAGCTTTGAGGGCTTTGGGTAGGCAAGTGATCTGAACTACCAACACTGATCCTTACGCAAAAGCAACACCACACCAATGGACTTGTTCCAGTACAGCAGAAGTGAGCTTGGTATCAAGTTTTTCCTGTACCTCAGACTTGAGTTTGAAGATTGCACATGACATGCTTCCTTATTGAGCCAAACTTAGGCTAAGTGCAGAAAACTGCAAACATGACCTCCTCAGCATTTCCTGAGGTGCTGGAACAAGAGCTTTTTAGTCCTCCCAATGCAAAGCAGAAAACCCACTGACCTGTCTTCATAGCCTTCCTACCAGCCAGGTAGTGGGGATGGTCAAAGTCTGACACCCAGGGTTTTCCACCATGGCCTAAGTATACTCTGAATTTGTTGGGACTCTGCAGCTCCGCAAACTTTTTGCTCAGGTAGTCTTCAACCTACAAGAAAGATTGAACAGTATTATCTACTCCTAGCATTTGTACAAACACTGGTAAAGACTGTATACTAAAAGCATCTTAGAGACTTGCAGGTCACTACTACTACTATGCAGCAATACTTTTCTTATTAGTATTATTTTATATTATTCCTACATACCTCTGCTCTGAAGTCAGAACATCTCCTTTAGGCAAGTTAACAGTAAACTGTAGAACAGTTAGCCAATATGTCACTCATGCTTTTGCATATGCACTTCTGGCAATCCAAGTGCCCTACAACTAAATCAACATTTACTTCTGAACCCTTTGAATTAGTTGAGAGAAACTGAATAGCCAGGCCACAATGGTCCAATGTGGGACCATACAGTGATTCCCTTAATTATCTGCATTGAGGTGCAGCACAGGGAAGACGGCAACAAAGTAAATGACCAGAAATGCCTTAGAAATCAGAAATACTCTTCCCCCAGGCATGAGGAAGAAAAGCTGAGAAACTAGTTTTGAGACCATCAATCCATCTAAACATACATGTTTTGTTACTTCTTCAGGAGTCATGTTTGGCACAAGCCGGATTGAGAACTTGCCAATCACTTTCCTAGGAATCACAGTCTTGGCTCCAGAGGCCGAGAAGGCTCCCTCAATTCCATGGAGAGACAAGGAAGGATATCTCCACCTATGCATAAGGATATCTCTCTGCAGAAACAAAGGGAAAAATGCAAGGTTACACAAAGTTTGACAGTTACCCAAAGCAGTAAATTCTTCAATCTAATAAAGACTTTGCAAGAAACAGCGCTTTCTCCCATGGACAAATGCAGCTCATTCAAGACCACTCAGTTATAAACAGAAGCTGTTATTCACATTAAGCAGGCACTTTGATACCCAGCCCTTGCTGGGTTTTCAGCACCTTAAGAGATTCAGCAGCTCTAGTTTGGCTTTCTCCTAGTTCTATGAAACTTTCATGACATGACCTGTCTGCTTCTGACAAACACAAATACCATTTATAAGGTGCTCAAGCACAGAGTGCAGGAAGTGCATTGGAAGCTCTGGTCCCTACTGCCTCAAGCCAGGCAGGTGCCTTCATCACTGATTCTCATACTCATGAAGATGACAAGTTTTCCAAAAGCCTCACCACTGTGCAGACAGGCATGCAGTGTGCTCTTGCTACTTATATCATCACCTGTATTAAATTGTCCGAATTCTGCTTTGATTAGAGTGAGCCCTACAGCCTTTATCAGATACACTTCTGGATTTCCTCCTTGTTGCCTTTGACACAGCTGTTCAGTACACTGGATACTGCAAATTCAACACACGTCCTGTATAGACAGCTACAGTATCTCAAACCTGAACTTCACTGCAGAGGTTCAGGAGACTTAGAAATTTTGGGGGCTTTAATGTTAACAGTTGTTTTGTTCCAGGTACAACCTGCCTCTAATCTTCTCAAAGAGAATTTAAACATCACAGTTCAAATCTTTCAAGCACATTGTTTCTCACCTGGAGATTACAGCCTTCTCTCCCATATCTCCCCATAGTCCTAAGACCCTCTTGCATGCAGCTTGCTTAGAACTCCCCTGGTAAGTTAAGCTAGGATTTCGGCCTAGCTAAGCCTGAACATCTTTAGTTCAATATGATATATGAAGAGCATCTTGCCAGCCCCTTCTTATATACAAACTATATTTCATCCATTACTTTATAGGACAGGGCTACACAAGGAAGTCTGTGCTCTCAGTTGATGTAAACCCAAGTATGTAAAGACAAGGTTGAGGACATAGAATTGTTAATTATATCCGAGTTGAGTCTGAAGTCTCCTCCTGACACTACTAAGACAGAAGACAGACCTGCACATGTAAACATGTCTTTTACAACACAAGTTTCTGCTTTTTATGATACATGTATTTACACCTCGGGTTTAATGCTTTAAAATTAGTATGTAATACCTATACCTTGCAAGACTTAATGCTGTTAAAGCATGCATTTGGAGAGCTCCCAGGATGAAGATTTGAGAAGTCCAGATATGAGTTTATTGAACTTAAGCCTGTTCAAAGATTTGGACAGCTGCCTAGTTCACAGCTACAAAACAGTCCTTGCTTGCCAAGTCTAGGAAGACGTTCAGTGTGTCAACCTTAAGTTCATCACAGCTAAATTGCAAGCTGTTTTCTCACCTTATAAGAATTCACATATCTGAGAAATTACTTTATTTCTGATAACCTACTGAACTTCCCACAGATGTAGAAAATAAGATGCTTTGTGTAGACATGTTATCTGACCTCTGGAAAAGTGCTAGTGCTTCTTATCTAGCATTAAGAGAACAGCACTAGATAAAGTAAGTTCTGTACAAGTTCAAAATGCTGCTATACATAGACTAAGGAGCAAATTTAAAGTTGCCTAGACTGCTTGCCTTAAACATGGGATAAGCTAGACTAAGTTTCCAAGAACCTAGCACTTTGCAGAGGAACCACCAGCATTAAGTACGCAGTCAGTGACACAGTAGGTAAAGTGATCTTCAAAGCAAGCTCACCATTTTGAAGACATCAGATGAGTTCTCTGCCTACTAAACTACTTGGTAACTACACAAGTATCCACAGAAGCTTGTTTGTCTTCTGCCAATATAGATAGCTTGAACTAACACAACTAACCAGAGTAGACAGGAAGGAGTACAGTGTACCTTTGTATCATGCAATAGTTTTGTTGCTCCTACATCTTTTGTGTAATCTTTCAGATCAAAATCAATCTTCTCATATAGTGACAGCTCCTCATCAGTAACAGGTGCCACTGCTTCATTAATGCCTGGAATGAGGATTTTCCCTTTCTTGTCTATAAGAGAACCTGTAAACAAGCACCTGTTATCAGGATTCAACCAGAAGAAAAGACATCATTGCTGGGAACACTTTCCATAGGGAATAGAAGTCTTTGCCTTCTGAAAACTCCGTAAACATAGTAAAATTGACCTCTATCTCTCAGAGCCTGTTCCACTACACATGGAAGGCACTTATGGAATTTCCTGCTATCCAAAACATGTACTTCCTTGCAACTGCATTTAATTCTACTGCTGCCTATTTAGCTGGCTGTTTGAAGGGGAGTATTCCCAAGGAGTTCAATATGGCATCTGTAGAACAGTTTACAGAAAAGAGCTGATTTAATTAACACACAAGTTCACAGCAAGGTTTCAGTAGAAGCTGAAGCAGACAACTTCTTGGCAAGGCCTTCCTGATACTTCTGTATCTAAGGCATTGGCCTGTTTTATGCATACCTGGCAAGCACCGTTTCATTGGTCATTGCTTTGCTAGCGTAAGCACCCTTCAGAACACTGCTCACTGCGAACTCATGCTTAAATGGCTCTTACTCCCACTCTAGATACATTCAGCAAAACCTGCTTTTTCTTACCCATTAGAGTGATGAGATCTGTCATGGCCTCATGTACTGAACCTCCATAAACTCCAGAGTGAAGGTCTCTGTCACTACATTCCACCTGGTTTGAAGTGAATTAAGATTCAGGTTAATTTTAGCATGAAGACATGGGCAAACGCACAGAACAGACTTTTAACAGCTTTTTGCTGCATGAACTTTGAGAATGCATATTTTTTAAGCCAGACCACTCAGTTGTAGTGCATTAAAGATATTTTTTATTGCTCTGTGGAGCACAAGCCCTTAGTACTGACTGTCCCAACCTTGGAGACTTCAGCGGTAACATCTTCCTGCACACAAGGAAGTATCGGGATAAAGATACCTGTGGCATAAAATAATCCTCCAGGGAAGGTGCTGACTTATCTTGCTTCATACATTTGAAAGTTATCCCTCCCACCCAAGTATCCTATAGGATATTAAAAGGAAGGGATATAGACAGTTAGTAGAAACAGCTCTAAAGTAGTCAGTTTCATTTTTTCTGAAGAAAAGCCTTTGGCATGAAAGATTTATCTACAACTCTTCCCCAGTAGCTTAATAATACTGGTTCTGTCATGTATTTTAGCACTCACCTCTATGAAGTAGTAGCAGATACCCCTCAAGCCATAGGTGATACAAGGCTTCTTCTTGCCTAGCCAGTAGTTGTCAGAAATGCAAACATAATCCACACCTTTGAAAAAAGCATCTTTCTGAGCAAAAATCAGTTCATCAAGGCCTTCAGAACCTGATTCTTCCATGCCCTCCAGGCAGAACTTAACATTTACTGGAAATTCCTTTGAAGAATAAAAACAAGAGCAGATGTAGTATGTGAAAATATTTGACATCAGCAATCAGTAATTTTCATATCATGTACAAAGGAGAAAAAGACATGGGTAGATTAGTTCCATGACAGTAGAATTTGTTAGTTATATACAAAGTATTGCCAAGTTCGGACTGCGCTATACCACCCTTCATTTGATGGAATTCAAACTTTTTTAAAAAGTTTTAACTAAGCTCCAGAACAACTTGTTTCCAATCCTCCTAACTGTGGGAATGAAGCAGAGATCTGTTGCCAAAGGGAAGCCACAGGGCTAGGAAAACTAATATTAACCACAGAAATTGCATGCTACAGTAGGAAAGTCAGACTTGCCTTGTCTATCAAGTCTACCATATTCTATGCCTAGACAGAACTTGAGAACTGCTAATTCTTCTCACAAGTAATAACAACTTGTCTTGCAAGATGAAGCAGATATCTTGGGCTACTTCTGATTGCATTTTGTCTTGAACAGCCAGCAAAGCTCCTAGTTTAGTGTTACTAAGTTAATCTCTTCTTAGAGCTTAGTGGCAAGACATTAAGCTTTGCTAAAGGCCAAGCTAACTTGACATCCTTACATGAAAGTGACCACATTTGATTATTCCTCCAGCTCCAGATGCTTGCATATGTATTTTCCTTCCTATACATTTCATTAAAGCAAAAATGTTTAAAGTGTAATCCAAGTATCTACAAGACTAACTTGTCAGCAAGTCAACTCAACCCTACTGGGACAGCAGGGAATTTACAGGACTATTGCATCATTCCTTCAATTAGCTGAATAAGCAGACTTACCTCACAAGGGTTTGTGGCTTGGGTAACATTTATTACTAGACTCAGCTGAATGTAAAAAAGCAGGATACATTTTGGGTACACACCTGGTTAGTTTGTTGATAAGCCTCCAAGGCATTCAGCCAGGCAAGCACTGGACCTTTGTCATCTGTTGATCCTCGCCCGTACAGCTTTCCTGTAGAATCAAGACACAAATTAACCAGTGTAGAGAAAAATTAGGATGACGCTTCAGTCATCTCTTGTCTGCAGGAGAAAACATCCTTTTGGATAAGCTTTTTAGCCCTGCTTATATTAATTTTTTCACTTCTGATTCTTCTGAAGTAGCAGCTTTACATCCCACTTCATAAACCCATGCAAGTGGGACAGTTACAGGACTGCAACAGTTCTGACTTAGAGCTACCCCACCTTTTCCCCCCGGAAGAGTTGAACATAGAATCATAGAATCATTAGGGCTGGAAGGGACCTTCAAAGGTCATCTAGTCCAACCCCCCTGCAAGGAACAGGGATATCTCCAACTAGATCAGGTTGCTCAGGGCCTCATCCAACCGGGCCTTGAATGTCTCCAGGGATGGAGCATCCACCACCTCTCTGGGCAACCTGTTCCAGTGTTCTACAACTCTCATGGTAAAAATTTTTTTCCTAATATCCAACCTGAATCTACCTCCCTCTATTTTAAAACCATTACCCCTTGTCCTATCACAACAGGTCCTCCTGAACAGCCTCTCCCCATCTTTCTTGTAGGCCCCCTTGAGGTACTGGAAGACCACTATAAGGTCACCCCGGAGCCTCCTCTTCTCCAGGCTGAACAGCCCCAACTCTTTCAACCTGTCCTCATAGGAAAGGTGCTCCACCCTCTTATCTTCGTGGCCCTCCTCTGGACCCTCTCCAACTGGTCCATGTCCTTCTTATGTTGGGGACTCCAGAACTGGACGCAATACTCCAAGTGAGGTCTCACGAGGGCAGAGTAGAGGGGGAGAATCACCTCCCTCGACCTGCTGGCCACACTCCTCTTGATGCAGCCCAGGACGCGGTTGGCCTTCTGGGCCGCAAGAGCACATTGCCGGCTCATATTGAGCTTCTCATCCACCAGTACTCCCAAGTCCTTCTCCTCAGGGCTGCTCTCGATCCATTCTCTGCCCAGTCTGTATTTGTGCCTGGGATTGCCACGACCCAGATGTAGGACCTTGCACTTGGCCTGGTTAAACTTCATGAGGTTGGTACGGGCCCACCTCTGCCTGGAAAAGATGTAACTGCCTTGGGCTACTTGTTCCCATATCCTTCACAATAACATCACTTTCCACAAACACAGCAGTAAGGGTATAGAAACAAGCTACCCCCTTTTAACATAAACCTATCCAGTATCAGCTTCAATTCAGTAATTCTTTGTTTGAAGAGTAAGACTTCAGTAGCTAGTGACCAATCACTTCTCTGCATTCTCCAGGTAAGTGTGAATCTCCCCAGAAAGAGCTTCAGCCAAAGACAAGTTTTGCAGGCTATAGGGAAGTAGCAGGAAGTGTAGTCCATGGGATCACAGTAGAGGCCGATATTGCTGCAACTCAGAGCTGCAGCTACAACCCCTAAGCACCAGGTATAACCACAGTGACAGAACAGGCCAGACGGCTTGCAAAGTAAGGAGCCATTGGTAGATGTGCCTCCAACACTGCCAGGCTGTACAGAGATAAACCACAGCCTGAGGCAAGTCTAGCTCTTGCTATCAGATAAGATAATCCAACTCAGTAACTTGGACTCTGCTGCCTATGATCAAGTGCCCAGGTAGAAATACTAGTTGCCACAGATTCTTCTTTTCTTGGCAATCATTAACACTCATGCAACAAGAATGGTTAATGTCTTTCTATTCTATTCTGACTTTTGACACTGAGCAAGTAAAACAAGGAAGAGGCTGTTGGTAGCACCAGCTTTACATGCAAGACAGCTTTTAGTCCCCTCTTGGCTACTGGCAATGTGTTGTTTCAACAGGAGTTACTGCACGATTTCTCCATCCCCATGTATTGGAGAGGGTCACTTGTCTGGGCAGTAGCTCTGTAAAACTCAGCTTCTGCAGTACTCATTGCAGCACAGTATGCAAAGATGAGGCAACCCAGGGCAGCTGCTGCACCACTACTGTCTCCAGGAATAAAGTTGTGTTGAGTGCATGTTCCCTGTAGTTTTTCAAAATCTCAGCAGTCTGACCTGAGCTTACAGGCTGTGTGAGTTGTGTGAACAACACAAGAAGCTAGTTCTAGCAAGCTTTCTGGCAACAAATCATTACCACAGAAGGCAGCAGTTAAGACTTTGCTGTAGCTACAAGGAAAATTACACGCAAGTACAGCCTAGACTATCAGCAAAGGAAACAAGCCCTGAGAGCAGCTGAGATTTTGCAGCTCTACTTGTTTACCATTTCCCCTCCTGCATCTTTTATCTCAACAGTATTAAATACTCATGTCTGTTCTTGCTCTCCTTCCCCCTTTCAATCAGAATACAACTTCAGAATGGTTGACAAATACTACAGTTGTTAAACAAGTGCTCCTCAGTTTGTGAAGTCCACTGCTCTTACCTTCTCTTTCTACCAGTGTGAAGGGCTCACTATCCCAGCCATCCTCTAGTGCTGCTGGCTGAACATCCAGGTGACCGTATACACACACCGTCTTTTTGTGTGGATCTGAGCCAAGTGTACCCAGAACAATTGGTGGCAGCGGGATCTCTGATCCATCAGGCAGCTAGAAACAGAAGTAGTTTTATTCAAATGTGGAACGTCAGTGGCACATTTCTATCAGATGAATGAATTACTTTAACATTACAAGAGGCTGAGATTAAGGGCATAGACAGCTAAACAAAACTAAGCTACTTAAGCTGATGGCCAGAAGCAGCATGCCAATGAAGGCAGGACAGCACCATGCCATTAAGTCTCCTGACAAGTCTCAGTAATGGTTAAAACGTTCCAAGTCACTCAGAGCTGTTAGCTTTAAACTAACAATCCCACATCAGATTTTAGCAGAGCAAGCTGTCTGCATGCCAAACTGCCATATTTAATCCTGACCTAAGCATAAACTGTAAACTCCATTCAATATTGCATTCTGCATTGCTTGTCACTGCACTTTCATCCTGTTCACAGTACAGCACTCCAGACAAGAATTTCCTGACAGTGGCATTACTGAGTATAACATATGTCTGCACTCAAACAAGGTCAGCGTTAACAGCTGTGTATCTCTGTATCAGCCTACACTCGTAAGCAAAGGGCAGGGTAGTGCTGATGAACTTAGTTCAAGAGCTGAACTTGGCTTAGTCCTTTGGAATAGCCCCTAAGCAATTATCACATGCTAACTGTCAGTCAGCATGTATTCTCCTTCTGGTGAACACATACTCCTAGACACTGTCCAGCACATCAAGATTAGCTTTGGCTTTTTGCTTGTGTGGGCCTCCAAGCTCAGATGTTTTTATCAGCAGGTTGCATGGTCCTTGGCCAGCTGTAGCTTTAAGTGATTAAAGTATTATTGCAGTTTACACTTACAGTACCCAGTACAAACTGCTGTGCAGCAGTAAACTAAGTTAGATCAGACAAGATCACCAGTTGCTTTACATTGCTGCTATATCAATGAAGGACAATGTACATAATGCACTGACTAGTTTTGTCTATACTTAATATAAAACTAAAGTTAACTTTAATCCAGCTGCAAGTCTTCTAAATAGAAACATTACTTGTAACAAACTCTGTAAATCAGTTCTTGCCTCCAAAAAGTTACACTGATGAAAGGAGCAAGTTTGTCTGAATTAATTGAAATACTTTTGACAGTATTTTAGGCTGTAGGTAGTAGCAGAGCTAGAATTATCCTACAGATTACCTCCCAAGAGTGCACACAGTCAGCTGCTCCCTTGCAGGGACCTGTAGTGCTACAAACAAGTGTAGTCTAGTTGCCAAAAGCAAAAATTGCTCAGAGGGTCCTGATACAAAGATTTCACCCAGCAGTCATTGGCATCAATTACAATGATGATCTTCTAAAACTAGTAAACACTCTAGTACATCAGGATTTTGAATGCCACTATCCAAATGCTAGTTTAACAATTTTGCTGTGGGTCTTATTCTGCATAGTGACTAGGCACTTCAAAGGAGGAGCTTATCAAGTGGATAGTTCCCTAGGATGAGATTATCATTTTCATAAGCACATACATTTCTCAGATAAAAAAAGCAGTCCAGATAACCAAAAATAAGGAGGGGACTCATCCTATTAAGGATCCTTCTGTATCTGGTAAGAGAGCAGTGCAATCTTGTGACAAATGTATTACTTCTGGAAGAGCCTAGAAGTATTTTGGAAGACTTACTGAAAGATCAGTCAGTATCTTTACAGCCTACAGGTCTAAGGTGCAACACCAGTCTGCTGTTAAAAACATCTAACATTTTTGTTTGCAGGTGCTCTGTTCATATTTAGTTAGAAAAGTGTTTAAAATACATTTAATACACAGTCCAAAATGTTCCGGATCCCAAGGTTTACTATAAACAAAGTTTTTAACAGGAAGCTCAGACTGTGTGGCAGGAAAGACATTATCCCCCACCCCAACAGGTCACTGCCTTTCTAGGCCACTGCCCACAAGACCCTTGTGTGGTGATCCTGACCAGAGGACAACCAGATATTAGGAATTAGTGATCCACATAGCGTGAATATACCCAAACCTGTGCTATGCTGTGCACATGGCTTTGCCTTCCTGCCTGTATTGTGCTGTGCAGAGCCTTGGGCTGCAGGATAAACTTAGTCAACTGTAGCTTGCAGGAAGTTCCCACATGGTACTGGCAATTATACCACTTGCATGTCCTTGTCTTTATCTAGAAGTCCAGCAAGTTCTCATGTGAATATCCCTTTTGTTTAGCAGTGGAATCAAACAGTCTGAATAAACAAAACAGGATAACGTTTCCATGCATGAGACCTGCACACTGATTGTATGCCTGCTAGACACTGCACGGCTTGGGGTTCCCAGCATCTGCAGGGACATAAGATTATCTATACTATCCTCTTTCTTTATAGTGGTAGCCCTAACAAACAGCATTTTAAATGATACTTTATGGAATCTAAGTGCCTTTCTTACTGAGATCATAAGAAGCCAGCCTGGCACAGAACACCTTGTCTTCTAAAGACAATTTTTCTGCTAAGCTGACAGAGATTCTCACATACCTTTTGTTTCCCAATATCCATAAGTTGGGTGGTGCCTCCCAGTCGCTCAATATCCTTCGCAGCAGCCTCCATCATGCGTTGGATCTCAGCTCTCTTCTCTGGCCATGCTGACACACTCTGGATTGCCACCCATTGAGCCAGTCGCTACAGAAAAGCCAGAAAAGCTCTACTACACATGAATTAAGGCATGGGAGGCACTAAACAAATACAACACATCACAATTCAACTAATACTCTTTCAGTCGAGCTTAAACTTGAGGCAAATCATCTGTCCTCTGCCCAAAGGAGTACTCTAATCATTAATATAACACTCGAAAGCTCTCTAAAAATCTCACTTTTCTACAGCAACCTTTGTAGTATAGCACAAAGTCGACAGATATAGAAGGTGAGCTTAAGTGTATGACAGCTTGTGCACATTGTGCCTTTCTGGTTGCCAGTCTTTACGTATCTAGAATCAGCTAATGTCTTTCAGGCTTCTCAGAAAGGCCACTTTAGCTTTTCCCTCCCCATGTGAGATCAGTGAGAGCAACTGGCAAAAGCCAAGCTGAACACTGGGCACAGTGCTTGCCTCGGAGTTCACAGTGCTATACACTGATTCCTTCCTAGGCAAAAGGGACTGCAATATCAGTTGCAAATAAATAGCAGGCTAAACGGCAAAGTATAGAAGGTAGCTTCTCCCTCTGACCCCAGCATGAACAGTTTCATATGAGAAATCTTTGTTCCAGCTTCCTTTATATCTTTCCTCTCTTATCTCACAAGGGGAGAGACAGTATAAACCTAGTTGGGCATTCAGGAACCAGTGTCAAACTTCTTGTACCTCTAAATAGTCACTACTTGCACTATGCAGTAACAGAGCATTTCTTAATAAATCTACCATTGAGATTTATGTCTTTGAACATTACTAAACTTAAGTCTCCTGTCTTGACTCAAACCAGTCACATCCACTGCCTGCTCTCCCCAACTACCTGACATAATTATTTGGCATATTATATAGGTGTAACAAGCTTGAAGCTGACCACCTAACTTAATATCCCATAGCTGTCTGTGCTGCAGGACAAAACTCTGAAAGAAAACTTACCTGAATATAGAGGTCCTGGTGTTCATCAATGTATTTAAAGAGGGTTTCAAGAGCAGACATTTTGATCAGAATGGTGTTCCTGAAGATTCTGTGACAGAAAAATAGTTTAGCCTTCACAGGTTTAAAAAACAACAGCCAGCAATCAAGCAGCCACAGAAGACTTTCACCTTTCAACTGCTAATGCCACACACCAAGCCATGTGAATATACAACTTGAGATAAAGTATGCTTTTGTTCAGCCACTTGACTGATTTACTGAGAGTGACCTCAACACCACTGTTTCTGTCTCTCCCCTCAAACTAACTTTGGAAGTTAAACTGAGCAATCTTGTCTGCAGAGATACTTAAGTCATGTACTTCACTTTACTGCAGAATTACAGGCAAAATGCTACTGAAGTGAAATCTACTCTGTGAAGTCGCATTTTACTGTAGGAGTTCAGCTAACAGTGTGCCATAGGCTTGAATGCTGTTAGCTAAGTCCAAGAAAGCACCACACTTTTATTTTGTGCTCTACAAAGGAGGTTAAAAGCAGGAAGCTCAAGAACTGTATCTTCTTTAGCTTTAGTCTCAACCCATCACTCAGCCTTTCCAAAGAAGGTCAGAGTGAAGCCATGGGAACAGAAACCAGCCCCAGCAGGCCATGAGCAAGTGGTCAGTGACTGGCTCTGTGCTACCACTTCCTTGTTTTGTTTTAGTTTCAACTGAAGTTCATGTGAAAAAATCCAAGACCTCTCCCCTCCTGGGTTTTCTGTCTCCCTTACCAGTCCAAAGTCCATATTTAAAAGACATACTGTCCACTCAACCAACAAGCTTAAACTTAGTTCTTGAGTTAGAACTAAAGACACAGCACCTTCTCTAAGCCAGGAAAACAATGAGCTTTACAAATACACCTCTGAAATCCAAGTGCCTGGGCCAAGAAAAAAACTTCAGTATCCACGTCATACACTGAACAAGCATGTTCAGCAGCACCAACTGCTGCGACTCAGTATTTTGTTCAGTCAGCTTTATGCCAGATCCTTTAAGCCTTTCTTCCACTTCTACATGGAAGTCACAAGACCAGCATGATAGTTAAAACATTTGACTGTCTGGGACTTCTCGAACAGCTGACTAGTCTACATCACTGAAACGAGTACTGTCAAGGTGCAGGCTGTCCTGCACAGCATACTGCGATATAAGCACATCCCACCACCCACTCCAAATCTATAACAGACTTACAGAACACATTTTCTTTCAAGCAGGGTTGCACTTACACAGATCACTGATGTTTGATGCACAAAAATCTTTTCACTCACTGGGGATGGCTTCTATTTAATTTACAGCATCCATCAAGTTTAAATTTGGATAATGAGTTTTAAGCACAAATTAGAAAAAACCCACACCACTAGAGAGCTCAAGTACTCTCTTCAATAGTCATGAATGGTGAAAACTGAACACATCCAAAAGGACTATATAGATAGAAACAAGTCAAAGCAATGCTTCTCACTGAAGCCTGGTTTCCCTAACAAAGCCACCATCTACATATGCTGTTAGAACTCAGGCATGATTCACCTGGAACTTTTCAGAGAAAACGGCACACAGGCATTAGCCTGTGCATCTGACTCTCAACTTCACTCAACCAGTTCCTATAGCAACATCAGGGCTTTACCTTCACAGCACCTACACAAGATACCGCATACTACATGCAGGGTAATGTTCTGTCCAACACAAGTAAGATCTGCACTACATGCTAAGTCAGGAACTGTAAGTCTCATCTTAAACAGTTAAATATTCTTAATAATTAGAGGGGGTCTCTAATCACTCCAGTCTTACTGCAGAGCTGCAAAAAATCTGCCTGAGACAGCTTCAAACTTGGAAAATTAGAACTTAGAAATTTTCTGCAGGCCCTTCAGATTGGAGAATTGAATCCTTCCTACCTGCATGGAAGAGGCTCCACAGTTCTACCTTTTCACAACGCTATAACAGCTACATTATAAAACAAGATAATCGAGGGAACTACCAGTGCACCGACAACCTCGCCCTCCTTATCCACAGGCACGACAAGTACCCCAGACGACAGCATTTAATCAAGTTAAGAGGGGTCTGCAGCCATCGCAGAGCACTCCAAAAAAAGCCACTAAAAGTCGTAACACACAGTCCTACACATTACGGGCCCTGTTCTTTGGGCTGAGGTTGACTTAAAGGTCAAACCTGGGACTTCACAAGGTTTTGGAGCAAAAGGGAAAGTGTCCCATAGCCCACAACTCCGTGACCGCAGAGACAAGCCTCATGGCAGGAGGGAGGCGCGCCGCAGGTTTCCTAAAGACAGGAGAGGCACACGGGGAGAAAGAGCAATCGTGGGGAAGCGGACAGGGGGGCAG